CAGAGAAAGTCCTCCTGTCCAAGAAGACTGCCGTGCATCTTCGGCCAAGTTGCTTCAACTTGGCCACAGCATCCGAAGACAAGCTCACGGAGAAAGACCTGCCAGAGCCGACGGCTCAGAATTGGCTCGACCGGTCTTGGTCATCCACTATTTATTCATTCTTAAACTTAGAAATTATACCAGTATGCATTTATTAAAGCAATTCATACAAAAGACTCAGGATGCCTCGGAGGCACCTCGCCATGTTTCGCCAGCTGGCACAGCCGGAGAAGAAGATTTTCGATTTGAATTCGAACCCCGGGAAGAGACTTCGCACTGATCTGCAGCACGGGGAAATGCCGACTCTGACAACGAACATGGCCTACGTTTGGTGACGGCCTCGGTCTGTTTTGAAAGACATTCTTTGTCCTGGAACTGGTGGAAGAGTGCGACGTGAGGTCCGAGGATCTCCAGCGGTGTTTTACTGGTCGGGAGAAGCTGGCTTCACTGGGCTACCCTACGTATGGAGCGATGTCTGCTGCCAGTCATGTTGCTGCTGGGCGTGCATTAAGCTGTCATTCCCGTGTCGTTCGAGAGACTTGAAAGTGGTCGATGATTCACATGACAATGACTGTGTTCTGAGTTGTCCTAGCGATTGTTGCGATGCTTCCTGATCTGAGCATATACCGGACCGGTTAACGGTTAATGAGTCGAGCTGTATTCTGCGGAATACATAATTTGAGCTTGCGGGTACACCTTCTCGTGCCAGCTGCATCTGGTCAGACTAGACTAGACTGGGGTTGCTTCAGGGATATGACGTTCGGCCATATCCTGTAGTGACTGTTGCAGCCACACATGACAAAGAATGAGTCGCGACCACATGTGCCAGAAAACATTATCATTGCAGGTCTTAAGAAACCGTGATTAAGAAACCGTGATAGTGAGGATTTTTTTTTGCTGGCAAGTCCTACACATGCAAAACTCATTATCATATAGAGCTAAATCGAAGTCCGAAGCTTTCATAAAGTCCCTAACTTGAAACCACACCCGAACACAACGGTTCAGGTCAGACGAGCAAAAGCAAAACCCCCCCCTCCTTACCCAGAAACCCTACAGCAATTGAACCCGCTCCCGCTTGATCCTGCTTTAGAGGTTTAAGGCACTTAAAATCTTTTAGGATGATGTCGGTTTTCGAGGGTTCACTGCTACTGCGCCTGAGGGTGCTTTAGGCGCGTGGTCGTTTAGAGTTTGGGCTAGGCCCGGTAGTATGGAGTTGTTTCATGTGGAGCGGTTTAAAGTTGAATAAGGTATGATCACGGTTGATTACAGTTGCCTCGGGCTGTTCTTAAGGTTGTTCGGTTCCAGGATAGAAATGACTCATTCTAAGCTTTGTAAGGTTCGTTGACGGTTGCTTGGGATTCTATCGGGCTGTTTTGAGTTTTTGGCGTTTAGGCTTAGCTTTGTGAAATCACTCTTGTTTAAGGGTTCATTGGCATAAGGCTCTGGATTTACATTCAATTCGGGTTTCCAGAATTAGCGTTGTTTTTTCCGGTAGTGCTGTTGCTCAATGGACGAATTGCAGCAATAATAATAAATACTGCTGAGGGCCCGGAGACCCCTCAGGGTAGGATCCGTTGGAGGATCAGTGCGATCATTGATTGATTGATTGATTGATTGATTGCCGTGATGGCCAAACAAGTACCGCCGCTACTTGCACTTTCCAACCCTTGGCATGTGCTCTTGCATGTCGATGTCGCCGCACTCTGGCGTAAATCACGGAGAGGCAAGTCAGGACGCGTGGCCGCGCAAGCGTGCTTAGGGTGTGTGGGTCTTTGGTTTTGAAGTGGTCTCGATTCTTGCACGCTGTGCGTAACATCCTGCTGACTTGATGGCTGGGACCCGCATCTCAGTGTCTAACAAATGCAGAAGCGTGTAATGCCCAACAGTGCTTCATCCTTAGACGAATCCTGCTCAGTGAGGAACACACATTGTATCCACCACTCCATCCTGAGCCTGTCAACATCCAGATCGTGTTTCCTCTCAGCATGGGCTGTCGTGACATCCAGAGTCAGTTGAAGCTGCAGTCGCACACAAAACTGCCGCATGAGCATGAGCATGCATGCCTGGCTAGTGGTGCGTACAGATGTTTGTCTGCATTTCTAGGGTATAGTGATGGCCCTGGTTTCGCGGGTTTGAGGGGTGCCGTCGGAAGGCAACTTTGCTGATCTTCCCGGACTATGTAAATAACTTGGGTGAGTCAGTGGATGATGAATTTTATTTATTAGCGGTGATTGTGATCCCGCCGCGTGATTATCACTCTGACGTCTGAGGATCGCATCAGCTTCGATGGCTTCACAGAGTCGAATCTCACGAGATTTGCCGGGAACGGCATGCACTTGCCATCGGTGGCATGGTCTTTGCTGTGCCAGGTAGTGTGTTTGTCCGAATCGGATGGCTAAAAGATGTCACCGAGGAAGTCTAATGATAAAAAGCGAGCTGATACCAAAGCCATCAGCTGCTGTGGTGTGGGACATTTTCAGGTAGGCAGTTACCGTTACAGGAGCCTTGTAGAAGGTCTGTATACCTTCTAGAAGTCTTATACAAGGCCTGCCTATATACCCTAAACTCCGTACCTGTACTTTCCTTTAACTGTAGCGTGGGGTGTCAATGAAGACATCAGCAATCAATGTCTTTCTTCCAAGCACCCAAGATGAGGCTGCTGACAAAGCCTCGGCGCGCAATGCCGTGGGCCTTGGGGTCGGGAGCCCAGCTGCAAGGTCTTCGGGCTATGCAGCGTAGCTTGCTTTGCTTTTATCATGCTTGCCAAGATTTCCTTTTGACAGGTGGATGTCACTAGAACTTCGCAGCTGGAGCCTGAGTGGCTTTCCGTCCTCTGTGGTGTTTTGCATTCGGTGAAGTGCTCTTTCGCGGCTCGATGTCATTAGCAATTCGCAGCTGGCTTTGGGCTCATTTGAGGCTCGAAGCTTGAAGTGATTTTGGAAGTTTTTGGCCTGGCCGCCGTGGAAACAGGCTTGAGGGCAATGGAACGGTGCAACGAGGCTATCGAGGAGAAAGTTGCGTGCTAAGAAGACGGTGGTCCGTCGAGGGTTCCGCACATGAGTGATGGGCTTCGTGACTTGGTCGTGGGAGGTCGAGCTGATGGTCAGGCGACTTCCAGCAGGAGGAGCCGAAGGAGATCTGACAAGTCACCTGTGACTGGCAGACGATCAGACGATGCGAGCAGCAGCCTGGCAGCTCTTCTGAAGGCCAGACGAGGAGGCGAGTCTGAGGCTGAGGAAGGCGCGAGTCTCGCTGATCTGGTGAGACGCAGCAGTTCGGCTGGCAGCGATGGTGAGTTGGCTGATCTGCTGGCTTCGCGTGCAGCGTCTGACAAGGAGCACTCCGATGATTCTGCTGACTGCGGGGCGACGTTCAATCTTGGATGGGACAGACTCAGCAGATTTGTCGATGGACGTCTCTGGCAGAAGATGCAAGAGGCAGCAAAAGGGCAGGGCACCAGGCATTACAGCATGAAGAATCGAAACAAACGACAACGGCTGAGAAAAGACACATTCGAGAATAACGGTATGTCTGTGCAGCGAATACGAAAAGTCCTTTCATCCAAGTGTCATTGCATCCCGACACTGAATTTTATATTGAGATGAAGAGTCAGAGCAGGATAGTTTGTGATTTCAAGGTTCATGATCATCCTAATGGGGATGGAGGATTCGGGAGTTAGTTGGTATTTACACAGTATGCATCAGTACTGACTGACAGTCGCTCGATTAGATTTTGATCTGTATTGCCATCTCAGGTGCACGAGAGACGTGTTTCCAGAAGCTGAAGATGAGGGACGTCAAAGCGTTTATGGATTCGTTTTGGAGTTGCAGTAAGCAGGAGCAGGACCAGCTGGCAACCCGACCTTTCAGATTTCGGGGCACTTAGACGTTTCATTAAACGAGAGGATACAAGTTGGAACGAAGCCTGCAAAATTACCTTCCCTCTCAGTTGACTTCGTGTTTTTCTTCCAGCAGCAAGCGAGTGAGTGGCCCGCGTCAATGGACATTGTTGGGGCAGAGCTTTGGGTCCGGACACTTGCCAGCAGCAGCACGTGTCACTCACCCAGTCCGTAAACATTTCAAGATGTTGAATTCGGACGCGGGGGGTTTAGGTTTTGGGGTGTTTAGGTAGAAAGTTGCCTGATGAACCATGTCATTGACTAATACTCCAAGGCAAATGTTTATCACAGCTGTTGGGCGTTTCAACACATCGACTCCAGAAAGATTTCAGGGTGCTGCCTGACCTGCGATTTGGGGCGCAGGGTACCGGCGAGAAACCTGCAGCAGCAAGTTGCCACGCATTCTTACGCCTGCAGCATCAACAAGTGGCTGAAGCTCTGCCAGACAGGCAGGAAAGGTGAATAGGAGCATAAAGACATTAGAGTGAGGCTGACGAATAACGATTCAGTATAATCCACCAGCGTGCCCCAAGCGAGGTTTATCAAGCGCGGGCAACAACGCGAGAGATGTCTGGATGATGACGAAAGGAGCGACCTGGAAGGGGCCGTCGAGAGCGATGCCGACGAGGATGCGGAGAATTTGAAGGCATTCGACTGGGCAGAACTTCAGAATCAGAACTTTGCAGCTATTAATATGCCGATGATGAGTCTCCCTGAAGTTAGTAGTGGACTGGGTTCAATCTCATGACGGATCAATCTTGTCAAGTGAAAATTCTCCAATAGGGTTTCACTGAAAATGCGCATGATTGCTTCTGGAGGCGTGGCTGGACTGCCCGGCTCGCGGGGTGGTGTATGGTCAAACTGTGGCCAACAGCCACCTCGTTCGTCGGTATTTACCACCTGGGTCCCTGCACGAGCTGTATGAGCACTACTCCGCTGTCCAAGCAATGGTTGGGGCTAGCCCAGCCTCGCAGCTTGGTGTTGAATTTGAAGCCTTTGCAATAAAAATTTGTTTGCCAATCTGTGGGAGTCAGAGTGCTGTGGTCCACCGCTAGCTGCGGAGGTTTACAACCTTTGTGCGAGTGTACAACACTGGCTGGAAGGATATTCTGAGATTCAGGCAGAAGTCAATGTCTCCTGCTGCAAATTTATGAAAACCTCAGATTAATAGCAGCAGTAAGTGTAAGCGTAATTAATTAAAGTTAGCTGTTAGCTTCCTTCGACGTTGTATCCAGTCACGCGCTGGAGGTTCACTACGTGCGAGATCTGCCAACAACTGAAGGCCTCTCTAGCAGACAAAGGTCTTTCGCTGGAGCAGAAGCTGGGTGAACTTCAAGCCTACAGAAAGCACCTCAGAGATCAGTATGACGACAGGTCCAGAGTATGGGAACTCGAGGCCATGTCTGCCGAGGCAGACTCCAACGTCTTGCTGCTTTCTGTTGACGGAATGGATCAAGCGAAATTCGCGGTTCCACGAGATCCTCAATTGCGTTGTTCCTCCGCTCTAGCTTCGGCCATCCGTCCGCGGATGATGGTTCATGCTTGCCACGCTCATGGCTACATCCTGAACATCAGGGTGGCCGACGAGACTCTGAAGCATGACTCCAGCTTCGTTTTGGATCTCGTTTCCGAGACCCTTGAAAAGGTGCAGGAGTTAAATTTAAATTATTATGAATGTATTCTTAGTCTTATTAGACCCAGTATGTTTGAATTGCAAATTGCTCACAGATTGAGCAAAGGCCACGCAGTTTCATTTGCCAGGTGCAGCAAATATGTCTGGATCGCAAACAACGTATGCCAGAGCAGCTGGTGCTTGCTGCGGCATGGCATCGTAAGAGTACAGTTTTCGCGCATTCCTAGGAGGCTATAGCTATAAGCTTTAATTGGAGAGAGTCATGTAAATCAAGACCTTACCCTGGGAATGACCAGGGAGACAACTGCGTGCGCGAAAACAAGAACGCGTTCGTTATGGCTTTTCTAAGCCTGCTGGTGCAGCGCTTCAAAGTGCGTGTGGCTGCCCTGGCATTCTTGCGCAAATCTCACACGCACAACGGATTAGGCCGGGCGGAAGTGTCATCATTGTTGTAAAGGCCCCGAATCCCGATAGTTCTCACTCCTATCTCAGACTCAGTGAATTCTGAAGTGACTCTTTCTTGACGCCCGCCCTTCACGTCAAGTTGCCTTCTCTTTGTCGCACAGATCAACTCTTCGGCATTTTGGCGCGGCGCTTGGCCTCGACTGACCGCATCTTGAACGACGAGGACGTAATCAAGGTGCTGCGGCACGAATGCCACAGGCCTTTCAGTTGCGAATCTTAGGGTGGCTTCAAACTAAACGTCTCCCCACCTAACCCTCGCATGCTGCTTTCAAGTTGGAGAGAGTTCAGGGTCCGCTACCGTTACCGTTACTGTTATTGTTCCAGTTCTGGATTCTGATTGAGGCCGGGTGTGCGGTCCTGGCTGGGCGCTCATGTTGCTGTTTGCGTGGAGAAGTCAGCAGCTGTCAGAGCCTGGGCCGACCACGTCGCCAAGACTGGTGTCAAGTTTGAAGGCGGTCTGCTTTGCGACAAGAGCTCGAATCACTTCTTCCTGTTCATGTTGTATCGAGGCCTTATCATAAGAAACCCATAGTTGTTACAGTTACTTGAGATTACTTCTTGAAGGTTTTATGGGGCCGTTCCGGAACTAATTGAACTTGAGCCTTTTTTAACTTCGACAGATCTGCCCGCAGCTCTTCAAGAGCGCGTGAAGCGACGTCGTGGTGCTGGCACGCCTGGAGCTTTTGATGTAGTTGTGCTGGTGAAGGAGTACATTTGCTCCGTCGACTTGGGGCAAGAGCCGTTTGTGTGCATGCCTACCCAGCGCTGCTTGCACGGCGGCTTGGTGCCTTCTGAGAAGCATGCTCTCCGGGACAAGGACACGGCCAAGGAGAAATGGCGGAAGACTGGCCAGCTCGTGCTACAGGCGTACGGTGCATCCGGTCTGAACGTTGCTGGCATTGGCTTTGGGTTCGGATATCGGTCTTTGGCATGAATCTGCTGTTTAAGTCTGCAAAGTTCGGGGTCGGCTTTGAAAGCCGATGAATCATTGTCATCGTGTTGTTGCGGTGGTCGTCCTGCGGCTGCTGTGGCAAATAGAGTAGCCAATTTCAATTCAGGTTACACTAGCATTCATGCTAACGTTTGCTCCGCCACAAAATCTACAAACATAACACGATGTCTGGTGCTACTATAGATCCTAGCTTCGCACAGATTCTTCATCGTCATGGCAGTTGGAAACGGAAATGATTCTGCACTTAGTGTAGAATCTAGTCTAGATCCTACCAACTGTCTTGGCCTTCTCTGCATTGCCTGGATTTCCAAGATTGGAATTCTGTGTTCAGCAGCATGACGCAGACTGAGATTAGGCTCGCGGTTTCAAACTGGGAAAACCACATGGTTTTTTTCGCAGTTGGAATCATATTTATATTTTTTATTTCATCATAATTGGGTATTGCCCACTGGCTACAGTGGTTTGCTTTCCTGTCGGAGACACAAGGAAGAGTACAGAAGAGCATTTGACTATTTGCAGCACTTGGTGAATGATACTATGTGGAGGCAGGCTCGACTGGGTCCTCTCCACTGGCTGGATCGCGTTGGACAACGACCAGCTGTGAACGATGCGGAGCCTGTCTTGCACCAGAGTGTGCTGGACGCATTGGCGCCGAAAGTGCCCTTGCGTGTCGTCTTTCAAAGGCGTGCAGACCCAGCGTGAAGTCCGAAAGCACAATCGGGGCGCGAGCGTCAAAAACTTCAGTCAGTGCATTGATTTGTTGTTGGGTTCTTGTAAAATGTTTCAATGCACTGGACCTGGTCCAGTGCATTGATTCCCTTTTGTGGGACCACCCAAGCCATTGTGAAACTTCGGTGTTCCCGAATCCCGAGTCCGTCTAGTAATGGATAATCAATGCACTGGACCTGGTCCAGTGCATCGATTCTGGTTTGCCTTGTTGTCATCAGGATCAATGCAGTCACTGTTGTTTCGGCGTTTGGGCCAAGCGTAAGTTCCGGTGTCAAGGGTCGGCTTGTCAGTGGTTTTCAACGCACTGATTCCATTCTAGTGCATTAATAATCTGCGTCGGCACGTCTGCGGTGCATTGAAATCTTGCGTCATAACCTTTCCGGTGCATTGAAATCCTGCGTCAGCTAATCTCCGGTGCATTGATTTCTGCCGTCGGGGTGGCATGCGTTCAGGAACTCCAGCTTTGAGGAAGTGCCTTTTTTAGCTTCGAAGCCGTTCTCGTCCCAGGCCGATGTCATCAGACACTGAGTTCGCAGCTGGGGCCTGAGAGTCCGTAGCCTTTGCTCGTTTCTGAGAGATGAAGGTTGGCATTCAGTTTGATGTCCTTTTGACAGGTCGATGTCATTAGAACTTCGCAGCTGGAGCCCGAGTGGCTTTCCGTCCTCTGTGGCGTTTCAGTTTGATTTCCTTTTGACAGGTCGATGTCATTAGAACTTCGCAGCTGGAGCCCGAGTGGCTTTCCGTCCTCTGTGGCGTTTTGCATTCGGTGAAGTGCTCTTTCACGGCTCGATGTCATTAGCAATTCGCAGCTGGCTTTGGGCTCATTTGAGGCTCGAAGCTTGAAGTGATTTTGGAAGTTTTTCGCCTGGCCGTCGTGGAAACAGGCTTGAGGGCAATGGCAGGCTTTCTGCAACGATGCAAGGAGGCTATCGAGGAGAAAATTGCGTGCAAAGAGGACGGTGTGAAGACCGAGTCGGGTGCCTCCCCTGCCAAGAAGTGGTGTTCCCTCTTCGAGAAACAGTTGTCGAAGCTGGCGGGCAACCTGGAGCTCGTGAAGGCATCCCTGTGGAATTTCATCCTTTGGAGGGTCGTACTTTACATGCCATAATCATAATTATTATGGCCAGATGCATCCGAATCAGACATAATAATTGCAGTCTTGAGAGATTCTTGGCTTCCTTTGCATTCTCGCAGGAGGTCGTGGAGTATTTGAGCTTCTGGCAGCAGGATGCTGCAGATCTTCAGGTCTTGACCACTGAGCAGCACCCCGCGTTTGCCGTGCTTCAAT